AATGTCAATTGTAGCAACACAAACAAAATGAAGATGTGTCCTAAAAAAAGGACACGTAGAAAAGAAAACTCTTTTATTAAATTGTGAGCTATTATAACAAAAATAATTATAAATCATTGCTGACCTTACTCTCAGACAGCCCTACTTTATGAATTCAACGTCATAAACATAAATGAGAGAAGACCATGACATCGTAGTAATTTTAGTCTTTGTCAATAATGTCAATTGTAGCAACACAAAGAAAATGAAGATGTGTCCAAAAAAAAGGACATGTAGAAAAGAAAACTCTTTTATTAAATTATGAGCTTTTAAAGGCAATGTCGTCGCCCTTATTCCTAAGGGGCATCCACGTACTAATCTACGCAAAGACATGAGGAAGTTAGTTAAATCTAGAATTTATCGGCACAGCCTCAAGTTTATCCCTATTGTCAGTAATTTACGCCAGCTATCAACAGTTGCGTACATCAGTGCGTCTACTATCTTGCCTAGATAGTTGCCGACATGATGGGCTAAAGGCTTGAGCCAATAAATTCCAAAATCTAAGTTCACACGGTTAGTGCCTACTTACGTATGCATACTAGAGATATAGTGACTTGACACGTTTACTTTAACGATAATGTATTGTGTAAGTCGCAAAAAAGTATTATTCCCAGAAAATAAAAATAAAAATAAAGTCCCAGAATATCACATTTTACCCTTACTTAGGTAAGGCTTTCGGAGATTCGGAAGCAGAAATCATTTTCAGGTTTAACAAGGAAATTTAAATCCAGCTCTGTTAATGAAAATTACGTCACAATTCTATATTATTAGCGAAGAAAATTCAAATGTAATAAATATAGATTTGGAATATTTAATAGCTTGAATGCTTCTTAAACTGTCAAACACCAAGCGGTCACCGGTGACCGCAACCTATTGTTCTATAATTGTGTCTACAAAACCGGTACTCGACGAGTTAACTTAACAACCGAATGTCGAGCAAATTCAAAAAGACCCATATTAAAAGCATCAAAGAAGATGACCCATATTTCAAAGCATCAAAGTCGATTATCACAGAACATGCAACAACAGCTTGCGTCAATCTTCTACAGCGTGTTTTAAGTTAAATAATTTGTATTTCTGTTTACTGTTATGTCACGTAATATAATCGAAGGTTCCAGAACCTATCAGGTAGTGAACAAAATGTTTTGCGAAACACCCTTGTGTAGTAAGAGCAACCAGCAGCATACACATCAAGCTAACCAAAACCAGTTTATCATAGACTTACTTTGTATGAGCTTTGCGAATATTCAACGGTCAGTTTATACTGGTTAAGCATAGCTTGCTGTGTAACCTAAGTCTTATGTAATTACTCACTCACTAACCGACTTACGTCGATATTAACTTCTTTTTTCCAACGACAACGACAACTGACTACTATGCCTCTATAGTCTAATGACAAAACTTTCTAAACTTTTTTTCTTCTTTTTTTAAAAATACTTTGTTGCGTTCAAACAATGGAATAGACTTTACGTTTGTTTTTTTTTTTAGTTTATATATAGAAAGCCCAAATTTGTGGTGAGAAAGTGTCTCATTAAAACAATATTAGTAATATTAGTTACATCTTTTAATTCCCGAATAGAGGGTATATCTACATATTTATTGCCAAAGAGGTGGTGGCAATCCAGTCAATCCTACCTCTTTGTAAATCTTTATAAGAAGATGTCGTTTGATTGTGCATCTATGTCTATGTCTGCCACAGTCACAGTCATATCATTGCGGATCAAAACAAGCACAGTGTTTATTTATTTATGTAAATAAAGCCGATCTTTTTCTAATAGAAATTTCGAAAGCTAAATAATTTATGATATTTGAATCCGAATTGCAGAATTTGGACTCCACTTATCAACGTTACTAATGAAAAATACACAATGTACTACAACCAACTAGCTGTCTAGTTGGTTGTAGTACATTGTGTATTTTACTGTTAATGTTAGCAAAAACAGACCCTTTCCTAAAATGGTAAAGACTAATTTCAATAACCTTCACAAATTCACACATTATGTCCAATACAACTTGACCCTTCAAAACCGCCATTTTATATCACACAACTGTCAAATTCAATACATTTTCAAATCCAGTTCCATTTTCCCGCGTTCAAGAATTTCTGGTCATGGTACAGTGATGTTGACACATACTATTCGACACTATTACGATAATTTAATGTTATTGATGTTGGGTAATACCTGTTTTCCATTAAAAACCTTGAGGTTCACAGTTTGGGGGCACGAATTGAATGAGGCAATGGTTAATGACAAGTTGCAGAGCACGAGCTGTTTGGCAGTTGAAATTGCTTGGTGTAATTATACCAATGAACCAATAAAATTAATTTGAGGTTCGATAAAATGTTCTATTCAAAACAGAGATGTGGGAGAACTTAAGCCTTGTTTTCAGTTAGTGGACAAAGTATCGATGTTAATTTATAACTACACTGCACTTCAACAACTCCGAGGCCTTAAGTTGATCCCCTATTATGATTATGGAACTTTCGAAAAAAGGTCTTTGACGGCCTTATTTCCGCGAACTTTCTACAAAATACATGTTTTTAGCGCAGCTAAACATAAAAGTTTGCTAAAAAACAAGAAAATGATACAAAAGTAGCTCCCACGAATGAAAGTAACATCAGTAACCTAGTAAAGAGGTTTCACTCTCAAACTCTCAACCTTCATGTTACAACAATAACATGAATGTAAATCATGTAGCTATTGTATTCGCAAATAATTTTATTGTTGTTTTAAACAATAAATTCTAAGGCAATTAGGTAGGTTTGTGCATTCATGGTGTTTTAATACTTAATAAAAATGCGTTATTCGTTGCAATTTTAGCTAAAGTCCAAGTCGCTCCCTTTTATAACACCCCTTAGGTTAACTAGCGGAAAAGTGTTACCTGGTATTAACATTTATTATGTTTTGTTAGTATAGAAATGTTAAAACCTTCTTTATTATAGGTATCTATGGTTGTTAGGTATTTCTGCCTTGTTCTTCAGGGACTAAAAGTGCGTAGTGGTATGTTTAGTTAAACTAGGTACATTATTATAGATTGATTACGATTTTGGCTTATCATATCTTTCTCTATTTTTGGATATTAGAAAATAAATCAGAAACAACTCTATGTAGTTCCTTTTTTACTTTTTCTTTGTACACAAACTTGAGTCGTGAGTAAACCATGAAGTAAGTAATTTCACATTTCATTAAGACTATCTTAAATGCCATCTTATAAAAGGTCAGTATTTAATTAAGGTCGGAAACATCGAACGGGAAGTTTTCATCGAAACTTTTGTCTGAACTTTTTGAAGGACCATATGATAGGTCAGCGTCTGAACCTACAGACAAAGATAGCTTCGTACCCGTAAACCTTGACAGATGACTCTACACACATGTGTATAATCTATATAAATAAAAATGAATTTACGTTCGTTAGTCTCGCTAAAACTTGAGAACGGCTGAACCGATTTGGCCCTCTTTCGGTCCTGAAATGTTCGTGGAAGTCCAGGGAAGGTTTAAAAGGGGAGAAAAAAATGTTGGCGATACGAAGTTTACCGGGTCATCTAGTTTAAAATAAAATATCCACTTTTCATTACTTTGTTTAATTATTTTACTAGCCTGCCTTACTTATTCAACCACTGCTTCTCTTTTAGATAAGCCAGGGTATGTAGAAGAGATCAACATCGAACAACACTGAAACAATGACGCCCAATTGTCGGAGAGTCCATTGCTATATAAGAATGTTGGAACGCACGCCAACGTTGAAAGCAAAGTAAGAGGACCTTAATTATTATAATATGACAAACTATCTGTACCTTATTTACGCAAATAAGTACATAATATTTGAATTTGAATAAAATTGAATATCGATAAAACTTAATAACACTACGAGACATTGAAAAACAAAAAAAAATCAGCCGAACATTACCGAACATAGCACCTCCTCCTTTTTTGGAGTCTATAAAACTGCAACTGACATCTCTTGTTCAGTATTTTTTTAAGGGGGGAAAATCATCGAATGACTTCTCCCGTCTGGGCGGGGCGGGAGGGAGTGTCAGACTCTTACTGACTAAAAACCACCCCGTTCCTACACCTGAACTTTGAGCCGGAGCCCCGGTAACCCGTTAGGTTCTCCGCGACATCTCTTGTCCAGTATATTGCGACCACACGACCATCGAAGTAGTTAGTAGGTAGGTACCATACATTAAAAGTGAGTAATTTGAAGGTATAAACAATTAGATCATAAAATGTTACACTATACAATTTCGAATAGGTACATACATAAATAGGCCTAAGTGAACAACCTTCAAACTGCACTTATTGAACATTTTAATAAAGCAGAACCATTACCCTATTTCTTTTTTAATTCAAAAGCGTTTTGTTAATGCACGTGATTCTCACGTCCTGTCATTGGGCTTCAAAAGTTACATTATGATAATTTATAATAAAAATGTGCCAAGACAGCGACCATAAAATGTGGTCTATTGGATATCTGCTTTACTAGAGTTCTACGTTCACTACGTTTTAATTATGTTTTGAACGTAATCAACGATGTAAAAATTCAAAAAGATACCTAATATAAAAAGCTAAATAAATCTTGAGAATTCTTAAAGTTACCATAAACTACTTATTGTAGACACACAAGTAGAATACACTCCGAAATCCGATAAACATTAAGAAAATTGAAAGAAAAAGCCAATTTTCTTTTTCTCTTATATTTAATGCCTAGGGTCACTAATTAAAAAGTTTTATTGCTAAAATGAAAGTAGGTACCTACTGTCTAATTAATTATTATTGACTATTGACTACAGTGAAATGAAATCTATAATTTAATATTTAAACTCAGACTTATTACTAACTTTCTTTCTTAATTGTTATAAAATTTGAATTCTTATTAGATATTATTGATAGGCATCGCTTATAATTTTACACGTAGCTTGGCTACGTGTAAAATTTAATAAATATTTAAAAAAAACTTACCCTAAAAACTGCAAGCAAAGGAAATTCCAACCAAAGACAAACGTTTTATTTATCCCAAAGGAAACTCAAAGAGTTTTCACAGATGATAGACGGTTTAATAAAATTATTTCACTTACAACACAAGCTATGTAAATTAAAAAATATAAAAATTCGAAATTTGAAAGTCGTGCGATGGCCGTACCCACCGCACCGAGTGTCGCTTCAACACTGAGATAGGTGCAACAATGTACGGTGTGTTTACTGAGCGAACGCCAGTCTACACGAACTAAACGCAACCTACCTATTTATGACTAAGTAATAATTACAGCTATTTTGATGCATTAAAAATCTTTTTGGAACCATGAACTGGGATCAGCGACCTATTTTCAAAAGGATGGCGCGATTTCTCTGATTGGTCGAGCGTCGCGACCGGTTTCCATCTATTGGTCATCTCGCCGCGTCGGTTTCCCTAACTTTCTTTGACCCCGATTATATCGTGTCGGTACATTTTTTCGTGATTGCATTTTGATAGGATTTTATTGCAATAATTCAATCGTTACTGTTCCGATTGCTGAGCATGTCGGAATAACGGGTTTTTAAATAATTTTGGTGCACTTATTGCAGTTCTTATTCTTGGAAAATTCCTGTAAAATGTAGGTGACACAGAAAGGAAAAAATAGCCAAAATACTGTGTTTTACTATTTTTCTACACAGTTCTTTGGAAGTTGCACCTGCAAGCTTATTAAAATTATAATCTTTTTGAAGGCTGCTACTGTAATTACGATGTCGCCAATGGAGACACGTCAGGTAATTTAATGATGGATATTTTAAACATTTGGACTTGGTACCTCACAGAAAATACCTACCTTTCATACTTTTTCGCAAAAAAGTGATGTTGCAGTTCCAAGCTAAAATATATGCATGCATAGCATAACGCGAGCAGAACCAAGAGAAAAAGTAGCCATAACGCTTCTTAATAAACTGTCAAACACCAAGCGGTCACCGGTGACCGCAACCTATTGTTCTATAATTGTGTCTGCAAAACCGGTACTCGACGAGTTAATTAATCAAATTAAAACTATCGCTCTCTAAAATCTTCAAACTGAAAATACCTGGCGGGAGAATGTAGGCTAGGTAGTTAGAATTATTTATCTAGATCTGATAGGATGGTTAGACTGCTAGACTGCACGCTTGACGCAGAGGCTGGACGACTGACAGCTGCTTTTTGTGGGTCAAATAGGTTTTTTTAAGAGTTCATCAAAAATTAGAGAAGTACCTAATTGCCTAGACAAATAGCAAGTAAAAATGATATGTACTGTATTATTGCTATTACGAACATACTTATCTATAATATTTCGTTCGACCCAAGTCTCAATCTCATCTCAAATCGTATTGCTGCAGCTCAACCAAGGAGACAGGTTAACACCAGAAAGTCCCGTGGTATAATAATATAATTACTTACAGGCTACTCGTAATAATATTCATAGCCATTACGTATAAAGTATTGCATGTTGCAAGCTACTTCAAGCTGTGCGGGTCAACTGAACCTGTTCTATCAACAGGAAGATAGAGCTTGTTAACCTACATCGGCTCGGCTGCATTACAGCCGTTATTAGTAGAAGCCAGGTAATATTTAGATGACGTATTTGTTTTTTATTTTACGACAAATAATAGTTGCATGCCTTGATTGGTAGAACATGATGAACTGCGCATTCATCTAACATCTTGCAATGCATCTAATCTCATCGTGTTCAGCAATAAAGATATTTGATTTTGCTTTTGACAATAATTTAACTCGGTATGGGTTACCTACGTACCTATTTGTTTAAATAGGTTTAGGGAGGGATAAAATATCAGTCAGATAGTTTTGAAGATGTGCAAAATATAGTTCGGATTAACAAAGTAGGGTTTGAAGTAAATTAAGTTTTTGCCATACTCTCCAGTTTCCGACATCCCTCTGTCGGGTATCCGGCCAGCATCGGTGCGATAAAGGTGCATACATATAAGTTGTTTATCGAAAAATGTGTGATTTTTTTTTATAAAACCGGCAAACTAGCAGACGGATCTCCTGATGGTAAGCGATGTCGCTCATTGACACCTGGAACACTAGAGGCGTTACAAGTGCGTTACCGGCCTTTTGGGATTAGGAATTTGAGGATTGTTGGGGATTTAGGGATTGGGGAAGGAGGAGGTGTAAGTAATTAGTCCTCCTCCGGTAATTAACCTCACACGACGAAACACAACGCAAGCGTTGTTTCACGTCGGTCGATCCGGCGCATTCGTGCCGAAGTATGGCTCTCCCACACTTAAACCTAAACCCTATATAACCCTTACCGATTGATACCTAAACTTTTAATGATCTATTATTAAAGGCTAAACGTCTAGACAAAAAACTTGAGCAACCGTTGACAGTACCTACAAATTTACAGACAAGATGTCGCAATTTCGCAATCGCAACCAAAATACAAATTACGAAAATCCTTCACTTCAGTAATTTTATCTGCAATCTGCAACGTTCAAGTGACAAATTATTCAGCGGATGCGTTATATTACAGCGTTTATGTAGACATGGCAGCACATTAACTTATAAAGGACTAGTTTAACGTGACTTCGTTTTGTTTGATGTTTGCGCACACTTGGCGGCCAGGTTATACTGGTTTTGTTTAACTTGATGTGTATCCAAGTGTACAGTTCTAATAGTTATTGCATGCAGTGACTACAGCCTTGTAACACATGTCAACTATTGTGTACGAATCTCTGATGCCTAATATTTACGGTTCAAGGACTTAATTCTGACGTTTTATGGTCGATGAAAAAAAATAAAGGCAGGGATTAGTTTAACAAGCTAGCTCGAACTGCGCCTAGATATCCATCTTTAGTTTTGTGATAAAGTCGTAATCGCCACTGTGCCTAGCAAAATAACAATATTAATAAAGAGTAGATGGTTTAGTTCCAGAAACAAGGGTTCAGAGTTTTTCCCACAATTACTTATTTATAATGTCATATTGTGAGATTTTAGGCAGTTTAGTTAGTTTGTGCTAGAAACGTATAAAGTAATTTTCAGGTGTCGATAAGATAATAAACCCAACCCCCAAACGTGCTTTTTTTGCTATAAAAGCATACTGCAGTAGCAACTTTACCATAGACAATTTCAATCTTCAATGCTGTTACACTTTATAGGGTTAAAGAAAAATAACTGTATATTAATAACTGTGATATTAGTAGATAAGCAAGCAACTGAGGGATTGGGCACCTAGCGGATTTATGAATCAGTTTTGTCCTGGTCTATGGTTTTAGGTAAGCGATAAGCTGTATATTCAATATAGAAAAAGTAATAAACTTGTCTTTGAATTTTATTGACATTCTGTTTCTTTGGCAGCTGTCAGTGGCAATAACAAAAATGGCGCAGGTACCACTGTATGGCGTAAAAACACACGCTCAAAAGGTTTGCTCCCTTTATAAAAGAGCTTTACGTAACCTAGAAGCGTATTACGATAGACGGTAAGTTTAATTAAACCGTTGTACCGGTGTTTTTCCCTTCTTGTCCTTTGTTTTCCCCATTACGTAATTCCTTCAAAACATAACCGCAATTTGTGCATCTTATTTTTCAGATAAATCTTAATTCTTCAGCGTTTTTATTATGAATATCTTATATATGAAGATTATTTCAAGTGTCTGTTCTAATAAGGTTACCATATTATTGCCTAATGATCAAATTAGAAGTGATAGTAACCATTGTATTTCACATAGCCTAGTTTTCGACAAAATGTACCCTTCTCAACATTCTGATGATTTGATAGTTAGATTTGAAGCTTTATTACCTTTAGCTTAATCAGATCTATATCTTAATAATCAGAATATTTTGGTACTAATTTTCATTACTCTTGAAAATCCATTTTAATAGTAAGTAGACAATAATTAATGTTCATGTAAATATTTGTTTTCACAGTAGTAAGATTCTAATTGGAAAAAATTTCAACAATAACAATAGAATACATCAGATGACTAAATAGTTTAATTCAAGCCTTAAATATAAATTATAAAAAGAAGTCTTCTGGGAATTATTATTACGTTTATGTTATAATGTATCACATAAATACCATTATAATTCCGCATATTCATTGGTATATGTAATTTATGAATGACCTTTCTTCCTCGATAACCATTTACAGTTGATTTTTATTTCTTTCATACCTTTGAAATTAATGATTTGACTATGTTTCCAAGAATTTAATTAAAACTAAAATATTTCTTGTTTGACACATTATTTCAAAACCTATTCTGTACATTTCAGCAATGTATACCGTTACCAAGCAGTGTTGCTGCGGGACAGGTTTGACAAGAATGCAAAGATCACCGACATGAGAAAAGCGGTGGAGATACTGAAGGAGGGAGAGGAAGAATTGTTCTTAACTCAACATCCTATTCCAAAACTTTGTAAGATATCTTTTGCTTTATTAATTATTTAGTCTTTAACTCGTCGAGTACCGGTTTTGTAGACACAATTATAGAACAATAGGTTGCCGTCACCGGTGACCGCTTGGTGTTTGACATTTAACATACACAATTTAATTACACAATGGCACATAATTAATACCATGTGGCATTCTCTACCAGTCACCCTTATCTTTATCATCATCTACAGCTACAAGATCCTACACTAGCAGTCCACTGCTGAACATAATAGTGATTGTTTATTTCCAAAAAGTGTCTACTTTATTAACCCGTGGTGTGCTGGAACACAGATCTCTGCAAGACTATGCATTTTCTATTATTCCTATTGTGGCAAAAATTCAAGGGGTTAAAATAAACTTTCAAAATGAAGACTGCCTCAGTGGCCAAGTGGTCGCAAGTGCGACTGCCAGGTGATGGGTCTCAGGTTCGATTCCTGGGTCAGGCAAACTATTACTAGGTTTTAAAAAATCTCAGTTGCAGCACGGAGTATGGAAATGTGCCCAGTATTTGGTAATAGGTTCAGCTTCAGACTCATAATAGTAAAAAGTAGGTGTTAGATACATGGTACAGTGTCATTAAGTGCCGTAATGTGCACATCTGCCTATCCCTTCGGGGATAAAAGGCGCGATGTTATGTTATGTGTAAATTTGCACCAGAAATAAGTGTAATTAATATTATGCAAAACTTTGAATATTGTCTTTGGACTTTGCATGGAGAAGCAATTTCAAAATATGTAGTAAAATATAGCTGTACATAATACTTACATAATGAATAATAGCAATATGCAATATTTTATTATGAATTTTATTCTAAAAATGTTGGTATTTTTGGACATTACTGTGATGCATGCATATTGCTACCTGTTGCATAAAATGCAGATTGCAAATTATAAGTATTAGATACTTATTATGTGCATTGAGCATCATTAGTTTAATGGGAATTGATATGAGCAAACAAGTAAAAGTATTTATTTTTTCTTTTATAAAATCATTGCCCCACGATACGATTTTTTCCTTTGTCGTAATAACACGACGTGACATGACGTCCAGACACCCAAAACAATTATTTGTGGATCACACAAACAGCTGTTCCGTTGGGGAAATCGAACATGCTAGTGCCGGTTGCTCAGCGACCACACCGAAAAACACTTAAGCCTTTTATTATTATTTTTTGACGGGGTAAATCATACATTGACTTCTCCCGTTATGGGTGACGCGAGAGAAAATGCCAGACAAACAGCAGGGTAGATTATTTTAAAACATTAGACACCTATTTTTTCTTTTCCCACAAAATGCTTTTGACGATAATATATTGATTTGAAATGTCGTGTGACGTCACAGCGTGCTACAAAATGTAACACGTTGTGACGTAACTACCTCTCACTCCTAAACTTAACGCCATTTTATTTAAGTATTGTTGCTTAAATAAAATTAAATATTTTATTTAACTTTATGCGAGAAAATAGAAAATGTCTGTAATAAAATTAAAATTAATTAAATAAATAATGTGTCTAATATTTTTTCATTATCTAACTGACGAATTAATTAGATTTTTATTTTTTTTACCCTGGAAACTACCTTATTATGTGGACGACCCCTTATTTTATGGGTTACTTTAATATAAACTTTCCTTCTCCAGTCGCGACCAGCCAAGGAGGTGTGGCTCACCAGCGTGTAGTAACTCCCCCGGACTGGGTGATCGACTACTGGCACCCACTAGAGAAGGCCCATTACCCCGAGTACTTCAAACGTCGTGAAGAACGCAAGAAGGAGTTCATTGCAATGTGGGAGAAGGAATATGGCACCGCTGAGAAGAAGGAAGAGAAACATTGATATATTGTTGTATAGTTATGTAATATAGTGAATTGAATGCGTTTATTTCGATTGCTGTTTTATTTTTTTATGGGCTAAGCCGGTTAACAAGCGGACCGCATCACCTGATGGTAAGAAATCGGCGCCGCCCATGGACACCCGGAACACCAGAGGCGTTACAAGTGTGTTACCGGCCTTTTGGGGATTAGAAATTTGAGGATTGTTGGGGATTCTTTGTGGGTAATTGGGCTCTGGGAGCCTCATTCACATGATGAAACACAACGCAAGTTTCATGTCGGTTTTCCGTAAGGCCGTGGTATCACTCCGGTCGAGTCGGCCAATAAAAATGTGTTATTTAATGGTATTGGATGGTATATACAGTTACAAGGGCCTTCCTCAGTGACCTCCGTTTCAATAGAAAAGAGACTGATCTACAACCGAGACGCAACGCTGCGCGCACACTATACAAGAGCTATTCAAAATAATTTTATCTTCTAGTTGGGACTAGAGGATATATTTCTATCAATAAAATGTTTATGTTTTGATAAGTATGCAAAATAAAGTTGTTTTTTGAGTCACTCTTATGAAGTGTGCATGTAGCGTCTTGTTGTGGTGTGAATTGTCCTTACTGTGCAGCTGTGGGCATTCTGTTCCCTGATATTATTATCACAATCGGACATGATATGAGATTGAGAGGATAAAGGAAAGGAAATAAAGTGATAAACGAAGATTAACATCAGTTAAATTATTATATCAACAGTTTATTGCAATCTTGTACCTCACTGTACATCATATCAAGAACGGTTTAGCAATTCCCGAGATTCGCACACAAACACATACATACAGGTTAAATAAATTCTATTCGTTGGACAGTTCATATTTAGTATTGTTACCAGGTAAATGCATAAAAATAAATATATGTTTATTGTTTAGTAAGGTATAGAATCGGAAATTAATTTCGCCTTTATGTTCTTAGGAACAAGAGTGATTTTTCTGTGTTAATGATGAAATTGCCATTTATATTTAACACTAAATCCTCGTAAATATTATATAGTCAGAATTTTAATTAGATTCCAGATTTGACAATAGCTACTGTCATTTTGTGAAATAATGATACCACATATAATAGTGTAGTGATGCACACAAAAATCGATAAACAATCAGTGTGTGTGTTTTATAATAAATGCTACAGAAAGTGACAGGATAGCGATAGCGATGACGGCGACAATTTATAAAATAACTTATTACCATTATACATCTATCTGTTTTATTTGTCATGTTCCTTCATCATTATATTTTTTTAGTTATTTCACACACAATTATAAAAGAAAAGTCTCAGATCGTTAAGTAATCGTCAAAACTAAATTATCGGTCAGAAATATTTAATTTCCTGATATCCTTAGTTTACAAGAGTAAAATTATAAACGAGAAGAATCGATCCAGAAATATTGCATTGCCATATCGAATAATTTCGCAACGTCACTATTTAGTACTTGTCATAACGTTGCAACACTGAAATTGTCAAATCTGGAATCGAATTAAAATTCCGAGTATAGACAGATTTACATTCACGTTACAATACAATTTTGCACTTTTTATCTAAAACAACATATTGTACAGAAAATTTAACCTAATTATAGATTAACAATTTTGTTCAAGCCTAAATAAAAGTCATGTATTGTGTGTATAGGATGCAAAAACATAAAGTTTTCATATATCTCTTTTAATTAATTAATTTATTTGCACTTTATGTTATACCTATAAAGACTTGGCAGTCCCAAACAAGCACAATGACCACAGACTATAACACCCACTTAATTAAATTACACCAAAAAATTACATCAAACCAGTGCAGTAAAACTCTAGAAAACAATATGTTTTCTATTACAAATTAATAACTTCATAGTTCATAGAGTAAATCATTTTACACAATTAATTTTCAAGTTGTGATCATCGGATTAAAAAAAGTTTTGAACACACTTCGACAGTCTATAAAAGAGAGGATGGATAAAGGCTGTATGCACATGATACCTTCGTCAAGAAAAACTGTTAGGGTCACCAAAATCACATCTTAAAAATCGGGATATCGTTCGTGTTTGTAAACATCAAAGTCTCTCACTATATGTGTTGTTACATCAATTTCCTCCTAGAGTGTGACCACGGCCCCAGTTGTGTCCTCCGAAGACTGTGCCGCCTGGTCGTGTAGGCACCCTAGCTTGGGGCGCGGTGCCGAATCCACCCACGTATCTTGTGTCAGGGAATATTTGTTTCCTAGTGATAAAATAATTATAAATTAGCAAGTATAATGCGACAGTAATTATTGATAAATTGTAAATTTGTAGAATGACTTCAAATATACACATACCTAAGTTAGGTAGGCTAGGCATAAATATGGTTGGTATTAAATGACGTGGTCGTAAATAAACAGTGACGTGGCCTATGAACTGTGAGTCATGAACGACGTAGGAAAATGAGATAACATGGCACTTACGACTAACAAAAATACATATTAACTTCAAATCTATAAAAAGGACAAAAATGAATAAACAGGCGCTATTTTTAATGGACAATAAACAGATTGGGTAGATTCAGATTGCGTTGATAGTCCTTATGTAAGTTACGAAAAACAGGCATCATTATATCAAAAACTATGGCAACATGCATTCCCTTACAAAAAAAAAAGAGTTTCTAAGCTAAATTAGTCAGAAGCAGTGTAGGACAAAATAGGTGTGAACTTACAAGAAAGCTGGCGGTGATAGGAGAGCTGGACCGCCGAATTCCTGAGGATACTTGAAGAGAAGGAAGAACGCCAAGTGACCGATCAGGATGCCGATCAGCTCCATGACACCTCTGGAATATGAGACAATATATAACAACATAATTTTATTAAAATAACTAGCTGACCTAACCCAACTGACATTTAACGAGAAAAGAGTAACCTATGGAGTTTCTTGCTCGTTCTTCTCCATAGGAATCTACACTTTGGAACGAGCAAATAGCTTCACTAGAGGACTGACCTACAGACTGACATTTTTTCTAATTATTTACTATACTTATTTTTGTTTTGACTTTCAAAAGTGCCTTCCTGGCCTAATTGAAATAAATGATTTTGACTTTGACTTTGACTGACCTGGTAAACTTCGTTCCGCCTAAAATTTTTTCTCACCTTTCAAACTTTCCCTGGACTTCCACGAACATTTCAAGACCAAAATTACCCAAATCGGTTCAGCCGTTCTCGAGTTTTATCGAGACTAACGAACGGAAACTTATTTTTATTTATATTGATAGATTATTTTGTCATTGTTTAGCAGTTCTTCGTCAGCGAGATCGAAGAGAACTTAACATGAGTGAAACTTTCTAATAGCCGAAGTGAATTACCGATCTCAATCCAAAATCAGTAGATTAACCTGTGTTGTCTAAAACCTACCGCTTGGCTCATTACTTCCTAAGTATGAGATTCAGGCTTACCATTCTTCGAGGAATTCAATTTGAGGACTATACCTTAATTCGAACATTATAGAGTTCAAAATCCAACTCACCCGCCGCTGATAACCAGGTTGAAAGCCAGCAGTACCCATGGTAGGTACATAGCTTTGAACCTCGTCCCAAACCAGAAGGACACGATCACGTCTTTGTTGAGCTGGCACCAAACATATAGCACAGACAGTACCATCGGGTCCATTAGGATCTGGAAGAGGGAACATATTCATTAATTATGCAAACTACCAAATTATACATAGCATCGCGCCTTTTAATAATGGGGAAGGCAGAAGTGCACATCTGTCCATATCTATACTAATAAAAAGTGCTCCATCGTAGACCGCATCATCGATTACCACCAGGTGGGATAGTGGTCAAACGTCGGCCCATCATAATATAAAAAAAAAACAATAATCACTAGTCTTTACATAGTATAAAACAAAGTTGCTATCCGCCGTCTGTCTGTCCCTATGTATGCTTAGATCTTTAAAACTACGCAACAGATTATGATGCGGTTTTTTTAATAGATAGTGATTCTTAAAAAAAAAAAAAAAATACATATTCCACCCGTGCGAAGCCGAGGCGGGTCGCTAGTAAAAAATAAAGCTGAAGAGTTTGTTTGTTTGAATGCGATATGTTTGTTGGATAGCACATAAATCGAGAAAGACTATAATATAGACCATAAAACATTGCCCTACGATAAATAAGAGCCGAGCAGAGGATGTACCCTTGTTATACACCCAGGCACCATGCTATTACGAGAATTTCTATTTTCTTCTTCGGTCTTTTGGAAAGACCAAATAAGTATTACTTTAACCGAATCATAAACAATACATATTAAATTCTTTTTTGTATAGTAACTTTAAAATTGTTAAATAGTATGCATATTCTGTATTAATTATTTAAGTACCTAATTCTATACTACACATAAATGTTAATAATATGTTTACAATAAATAAATACCAACGAGTACGGCGTCAGCAATGTCACATTGAATTTGTGTCCAATGACTGTGGTCATAAAACAATCGCGGTTCCTGAGGTCTTGAGTTTAATGACACGTTAATAAAGGCGCAACAATTGGAATATAGGTATTGTATTACGTTGTTATTGTACAAGGAAGATTACAGCTATTTGTTATGTATTTGACAAATTAAAATTATTATAAATTTATTGATACTACTATTGCTACTTGGATTGGCTGCCTCATTGGCCGAGTGGTTGTCAGTGCTATTGTTGGGCAAGGGGTCTCGGGTTCGATTCACGGGTTGAGCAAAATATTACTGGGTTGTTTTAAAATCTCAATAGTACCACGGACTCTGGTAACATGGGACTCATAATATGAATAGTGAAAAGTGGCATTAAGTGCCGCCCTTCGGGGAGAAGTAGTGTGATGTTATGCTATGTTTAACAATGGAAATAAAAACTATACTTACAGGCAAGTTAACAAGTAATCCAATGACCACACAGCATGCCCAGTTGAAGAGTAACATATAAAAGTAATCTGCAGGTTTGCCCGCAAACATTCCCGTCTCAAGTCTCTGAGAGTAGTTGTACAGGAAGTAGCAATTGATTAGGAAGTGGAATCCTGTACTCGGACTTATCGGGTAGAAGAACAGCGCTGTGATTGGTCGCCATAACTGTGAATGATAAAAGGAAGGGTTTTATAACTGCTTCAATTTTGTACCTTGATATAAATGAAATTGTAACAGAAAATACGATTTAAATGTAAATAAAAGTAATTTTAGTTATTTCTTGACTATGATTGTTAAAAAATATGAAATTAATAACTGTGTTGTTTGTAGCAATTCAAGATTCTTACAACCTTATCTTAACTATGTATAAAGAACATTATCAACGTTATGGATTTTTAGATTCAAAGGCATAAATTCTTATGTCCAAATATTATGCCAAAACAACTCAATTTTAAGATGCACTAAATATAGTACCTACCATCATTATACATTCTTTGGGAAATGACAGAGATAGCATGATATTTATGTATGACTTTAAATTGAGTAGCATTTCGGTATTTAGGTGTTAGTCTTCTACAGGTTTAAATTTAATATATATATTATGTATAGACAAGGTTATAAATTAAATCATGCTACTGTAATTACAAAATAGTTATGTAAACAAATAAAGGTTTCAATTCAGATTTGTCTAATTCTAATGCAGCCTGATAAAGCAGAACTGTAAAAAATAATTAGAGCATAACTTTGTTATCACTATTAGCATAATAATATTATCAGTGACTTTTAATAATTAAATGTTTACTACTGTTAGATAGTGAGCCCATTATGAATAATTGTAACAGTATGCAAGTCTATGGATGTGTATCACAGTATTGTGTTTGAATATATGGGCCAAGGCAACTATGGTTTTCATAGGATTTTTTTTTATTAATTTTGTAATTCGAACATTAGCATTCATATTATGCAATGTTTAAAGTGTGGAATGATCTAGCAACGTAGCACGAGCACATAATATTACTTAATTTTTCCTGCTTACCTGGAAATTGTTTACAATGGAATAGAAGTCCAGCACTAAATAGGAGAAGCTTAATAACCCAAACCGGCCCAATATACTGAACACAATTGTTAAAGTCAACCAATAACGAGTGAAAAACGGTACACTCTCAAACCAATCCTTGAATTCAGACATTTTCGTATGTAAACACAAACAACAGGGTCACTAAAGAGACAGGTTACTAGAAGTTTTTACAACAATTAGAGCACAGCACTCGCTGATCGTTTTACCATAAATAGATACAAATGATGAAATTATTAACATCGAATTGTCGGTACACGTGTACTATGAGAATTTGTCGAGAAAATTCAACCAACAAGAGGATGATTTTGTTGTTTTTGACAGTGGGCGGTTTTGTGTTGCCAGCGGCAATTTATTGCAAAAACCGTAAAATTTTCAGTGGATTTCTTATTATTTCCCAATTGTTTTGTTTCTTATTTAAGCCCTGATTAAAATATGATAAAATTATTTTAATCCAATGATAAGATTATTTGCTTTGAAAAAGTTATTTTAATGAAAAATGGTTTATGGACTGTTTGGTTACGTTCAACTTACGATAACAGTTTCCAGATAAAAAATCATTAAGAACTTCTAGTAGCTTGGCAATGTCTTGAAACTATAATTGTGCAGGCAACCAAAATTAGATAATCAGTATTAATAAACATTAAAAAAAAAAGATAGCACGCAACACAATACTGTAGATAAAAATTGAGAATTGTGAATGCGCCCTAAATTTTCTTTTTCGGCCTATATCTTTCAGTTTCAGTGACAATCATATTATTATGATATTGACAAATTGACATCTATCAAATTCGGAAACGATATCTGTGAATCTGTGATTCTGTGAACTTGTGATCGTTTGATTTCGTTTGATGAAAAAATGAGAACTATGTTGAAAACTCTAATTTCGGCTACTAATTTGCCTGTAAGGCGATATGCAGTGCGTTTTTGTTCTAATGATGCTCAAGCTAAGCATAAAGCAGAAGAAAAACACGACCCTAAAGATTCGGAATCGGAACCGGCCAAAATAGAAGTTGTCAAAAAAAGTAAGGTTATTATTATCTTATTTTCTTACTATTGAACCAACTTATTTTGATATTTTCTATACAAATGTACTCGATAATAAAATAAGAACAAATCTGACGTAATTACTAAACGTAATAACTAAAATATCGCCTCATACGATTTTAAAATGTTATCTTTGAAATTAGTAGTACTACCCACATATTACCAATACCTAATTCTATTTAAAATTACTTACAGATATTGTTGTTGAAAAATTTGGTTCCGTTATGACACTCAACATAGACCGTCAAAACACGAGGAACAGTCTGGACATAGCAACACTTAAAGAAATGACTGTAGCCATTGATGCATTTGATAATGATCCTGAAGCCAAAGTTTTAGTATTCAACGGAGAAGGTGGCAGCTTTAGTTCGGGATTTAACATGGATGATATAGCCGCACATGGATATAATAATTTAAAAGATGCTGCGGTATGTATAAAATATTAAGGGAATTAAAATAACTTGTTTAGTCCTTTACGAATAATCTGCCATATCATAAGAAAGTAATAAACAATCATGTTCCAATATATAATCACGTATATTAAAACACGGCTGCTGACTTTTAGGCCCGGTCTGTGTAGTGTCTCATATGGTACTTGGTTCGTAAATGTAACTTTTTGCACTAGATTAAATAAAAAATTAACAATAGATTCCGACATAGTTACACTTGAACTCGTGGCTGCAAACTGTATGGTTGGCTGTGAATTTGATTAATTCCCTGCTTGTTATCACTCAAGTCGACATATCAAATTAGAATTGCTGAATTATTGATAACATTTCGACTTCATACATAGATATTATTTACATTATCAATATTGGTATGTCGTAGTAAATCGCAAATGATAGCTTAATTTTATCAGACCTTTACATCTTTTATAATAAAGTATATTTTTTCATTCTATTAGGAAAAACATTGTAAATAAAACTTGTTACCTTCATTTACCTATGGCTTTCCACGCTTTTGTGACTTGTTTTATTATGTGATTGTTTTTAATTCTTTGGTTCCATTTGTCCAGTGGTGCTATTGTAGATTTCACTCATTCATATCAAATTGTAACCCGACTGTGATGAGTTCATTTCTTAGATTATACCAAGAGATGGCAGGTTTGCTCATCCAGTGTAGTGACAGCAGAGGTAAAAATTGGTATGATAACAGAAAATATACTAAAATAACTTGTTTAATCCGTTACGAATGATCTGCCTTATGAATTGAAAGAAATAAACAATCATATTCCAAACTATAATAACGAATATTAAAACACGGCTGCTGAATTTTAAATTTGATATGTCTGGCTTCTTATACGGTATACAGTTGATAAGTGTTAATTTTTGCACAAGGTTAAAAAATAAATTGATAATAATATCCGACATGGTTACAGTTCAACTTGTGGCCGGAGACTGTGTGGTTGACTGTGAATTTGATTTAATTACTGCTTGTTATCACAGTATACATGCATATATATACATATATAATTGCTGGCTTGTGGTTGAACTGACCTGAAATTGTTTGCTAATATCAACATTTTGTTAAGGAAAACCACGAGTTGTTAATAATATTTTTAGCACACAAACTGACGATGATAGTTGGGTGCTTTAAGGATGCTGGTTCAGATATCCTTTAACAATGACTGTTTATATACTGGCTCTTGTACGTCACTTCATAGATAGTTACATAAACACTTGTATCGGTTTGTATTTTCCCGAGGGCTAACAGAGTAGGTACGAGTTTATTTTTCTGGTTGGTTCATTGGAGCTGGCTAATCAGAACGTGGTCTCGTTTCGATCTCGTTAAGCGTAAAATATATTCGTACTAAGGCCTTCGTTCTATCGAATTTAAATATTCTGGAATTTCTATAAAACTTCTCCACGGGCCTGAATTTCAATATTATTAGGTATTTTCTATCTTATATATAAAAATGAATTGCTGTTCGTTTGTCTCGCTAAAACTCGAGAACGGCTGAACCGATTTGGCTAATTTGGGTCTTGAAATGTTTATGGAAGTCCAGTGAAGGTTTGAAAGGTGAGAGTGATTTTTTTTTGTTTGCCGTATATAACGTGCCGTGTATAACTAATATGGATGATTATTAGTTAACTAGCTAGTCCCGCGCGGTTTACCCGCTCTGCTCGGCTCCGATTGATAGTGATGTTTTAAGACCTGTAGTCTTCCTCTGTAAATGCACTATCCAACACAAAAATAATTATTAAAATCTAAGTAAGTAGTTTCGGAGATTAGCTCATTAAAAAAACAAACAAGCTTTATATGTATAACAAAAAACAAAAAATTTTGGTCAAGTCAAGCAGGGAACTGAAAAAGTGTTGATAAAAGTGAATATGAAAAGGGGACAAAAATATAAAAAGAACCTACACATTATTTGCATTATCATTTTTGGCATTCAACAGGGAATCACAACTGATGGTATATTTCCATTATCAGTGCCTTGCATCTCTTAAAATAAATAGTTTTTTATACTTTTACTGTCAAACTCGTAACTTGTAGTGATAATCAGAAAATAATTGAAATTATATTATTTCTAGATTCGTCTGGAAAGAAGACCTCTCTGCGATAAGATCACAATAGCAGCAGTGTCAGGGTACGCAGTGGCTGAAGGGTTTGAGTTGGCTCTGTCCTGTGACCTGCGAGTCATTGAGGAGACCGCTGTACTCGGCTGTCTTGGGAGGAGATTTGGTATGTAGATGTTTAACCCGAAGATACACTAGGGGTCAAATTTCCTGCGACACATGTCGCCAGCGACGTTGGGTGAAGAAATGCGACGTTATATGACAATAGGCTTACCCCCTATTACTTGGGACTCATAACATAAATAGTGAAAAGTGGGTGTTACATTGTACTATTACAGTGGCATTAAGTGCCGTAATGTGCACCTCTGACTACCCCTAAGGGAATAAAAGGCGTGATGTTGTGTCAATTAAAAGGTTATTTGAGTGTAAAACATATTTGACCTTCACGTCTTTACACAGACTTTGTTCACATTATAGGTAATGAGATTCATTTGACACAATAGTACGAGAAGTATCATTGTCATTGCAGATGACTTGAAGAGCAAAGCAAAGTAAATAAGTTTATCTTTTATAAACATTCACTAATATAAAGATTCAGAATGTTTATTTATAAAAGTGAATGTTTCAGTGAGGTCAAAATCCCACACTCTCTAGTCTTTTACCAATAGCTTTAAGAATCATTTGAAAATAGAAGTGACTTTGAATACAGCAGCTATTAGACTAATACGTAGTAGACATAACGCCTCCTTTTTAATCCCCGAAGGCGTAAGCAGAAGTGCACAAATACTATGTGACAGGCGGCGAGCTTATTGCCATATTCCAACTGACAAATGTATCAATCAAAAACCGTGAAACCCACAATGAAGGAATGATACTTCACCCAACCGAGGAATCGAACCCATAACCCATTGCTTGGCAGTGTCACTTACGACTTCTGGAGCAGTCGTAAACCTTGAAAAGAAAAATAATTTGTTTGTTTTTTATTTTCAGGAGTTCCACAATCAATATACGGTGCTCGAAAGCTGACGTCATTGATCGGACTATCCCCTGCGTTGGACTTGCTCATCACGGGCCGCCTGATCTCGGGAGTAGACGCCAACAGACTAGGACTGGCTTGTAAACTCACTTCTACGGGCACAGGTAATAGTCATTTTTTTGGAAATTAGTAATTATAATAATAATAATTGAATTTTATGCTACAAGTGGTTTAAGTGTACTCCCACACTTACACCATGCCTCTCCAGCCATCCTTCGGCACGAATGGACCGGCTCGACCGGACTGATACCACGGCCTCACATAAAACCGACGTGAAACAAGGCTTGCGTTGTGTTTCGTCGTGTGAGTGAGGTTACCAGAGGCCCAATTACCCTCCCCAATTCTTGAATCTCCAACAATCCTCAAATTCCTTTTCCCTAAAAGGCCGATAATGCACTTGTAACACCTCTGGTTCTGGGTGTCCATGGGCGACGCCGATTGCTTACCATCAGGTGATCCGTCAGCTCGTTTTCCGGTTTATCCCATAAAAAAGTGGGACTACCCATAAGAGTATTAACTATTTTGAAAACGCATTTATGTAAGGGATGTTTGGGATATTTTTTTTGTCATGGTAAATCATGTTTACTTATCTGTGGTTTTATATTTCCTATGGATTTGGTTAACTCTTTCCTGTATACAATGATTATTTAGTTTAACCTTTTGACACAATAGAAAACACATTGTGTCTCGCGTAGACCTACGTTCCAACACTTCACAGGTTAACGTGTTATGAACTTATGATACCAAACCTCCTTTTTTGGACTTATGCTGCAGTCGGGGTAGTAAACAGTATTAATGCAGATTTTCTTGTTCTTTATAGTCATTTACACTTTATAACCAGCCACTGGATCAGGGGCGTGCACAGAGATTTGAACTAGGGTAGGCAGAAGGTACCACATGATTAAAAAAAATTTGGTCTACATTAATCTCGGAAAATAAAACGCCGAAACATCATAATTTTGAGTAGGTAATTAGGTTTAGTAAGTATTTTATTAATTTGTATAAACAAATTAGGTACATAATTATTTTCAAACTATCCGTGTATAAAGTTGATCAACATAGATACCTAGGTATCTATTTTACAAATCTATTAACTAGGTACCTACTTTGGAGCGGCGAAGTACAAATGGTTACACATCAAGCTATGCGACACCAGTATAAACTGACCGTTAAATGCATAGAAAAATCGTACAAAGCGAGATCAAGATGACTGGATTTTAAAAACATTAATGAAATTGGTACACAACCAGTGCTAACAAAACAAACTATACCTATAATCGCAAATCGTAGTTTATTAAAAGAAATAATAAAATTATTACCTTTTTTGAGTTACGCCTAGCCCGGACATACGACACACGCAAAATCGCCTTTGGAAATATTTTCGTTTCTTCTTCGAACGACAATAAGGACAACGCACTCATATTTAATTTATTGAACAACACAAATCACCAGCACAGAGCTCACAGCTATAATTTTACATAATTTTCGGTAAATTAACAGTTCATTTAAATTATAATTCATTACATTACAATTTATTCACTTGCACATAAAAACATAACCAAAACAAAATGGCCAAAAAAAACGTAAACAATAAGTTGACCAAAATTAATATATCTATTTTCAATCAACAAACGCTACGTTTTGTTGACTTCTTAAATTAGTCGGATAACGAAGAAGCAGTGCTTTTGCAGTTGTATAGAAATTACCAACCTAACAAAAAAAAAATCCAACATCAGCACGAGAAAACAAGCAAATTGTACCGGCTACGCATTAGTACATGCTTCCGCCACCATCATACAATAGCGAGGTGGCGGCGCCACTGGGGCAATGCTTCAATATATCGAAGAAAGTAGAAAATGGTTGTAGTACTTCAATATTTTTTCGATAGATGGCGTTAGTGACCAGTTTTTCAAATTAAGTATCAATAAAATTACGAAATCTCTGTATGATGTCAGTAAATATTCATTTCGTGTTTATGAGTGACACTATGTATTACACTTGTGCTTATTTGCATGTATGGTGTGCACGCCACCGCACTGGATGCATGAAAAGGCTGCTATCCCATTTATCTCCAGTCCCTTGTGAGTTTTGGGAAATAATCTTTTAGCATTTCCCTGCACTTAAAAGAAACATTTTCAGATATTAAATACCAATGTTTTCTATAGTTCTATACATAATAACAACATTGACTGCCTCGTTGGCCGAGTGGACTACCGGACAAGAGGTTTTGAGTTCGATTCCCGGGTCGGGCAAAGTACTACAGGGTTTTTGAAAAAATTCTCAGTAGTAGAATAGAGTCTGGAATTGTGTCCAGTATATGACAATGGGCACACCATATTATATGGGACACATAACATAAATAGTGAAAAGTGGGTGTTACATTGTACAGTGGCATTAAGTGCCGTAATGTGCACCTCCGCCTACCCCTTCGGGGATAAAGGGTATGATGTTATGTTATGTCCTATACATAAGTGCCTTTGTTGCTTCACTACATAGTAAAAAAAATCGCTATCCGCCGTCAGTCTGTCCCTATGTATGCTTAGATCTTTAAAACTACGCAACGGATTTTGATGCGGTTTTTTTAAATAGGTAGATTGATTCTTAAGGAAGGTTTATATGTATAATACATGCATACTGCACCCGTGCGAAGCCGGGGTGGGTCGTTAGTCTAAAATAAATAATCTGATAGAAATTAACCTGTAATCTTACCTTTCATATTCGCTTCCAGCTCTGGGCGAGTCGATAAAACTGGCGAAGTCTTTAGCAAAGTTCCCAGTGAATGCGATGGTGATGGACAAGATGGCTGCTATCAATTCCCAACTGAATCCTAATTCGGAGGAGAGTATGAGGGACGAGGCTATAATGCATAGTCTATTAGGAAACGCTATCGAGGATATGAAGGAAGGAGTCAAGAAGTTCCAATCAGGTTAGTAATGTAGAACTAAAGGGTTGTTTTAATTTTTTTTTATCTGTGCTTAACACTCGATTAGTTTCAAGCCACGAACGGGGCTCATAAAATCTTGAGTTTTGTAGGCGAAGTCCTTTGAAACGCATGTTATAAATAATCGAGCGAGCTTCAATAGTAATTATTTGACTCAATTCTAAATTTTTGACAGAAACTCATTACAACTGTTGTCAATTGAAAATATTTAAATTGGTTATTAATTCCGGTCGTTATTAGGAGATGCATTTGTGCCACGATTGTACTTACTTGTACTTATTAATTACGGTCATATATACATAACTTCACGCCTGTCTCCCATGACCACCCCTGTCATAGACTATGGAACGCCAATTGCTACGATTCCAGTACCAATAAATATGTTTGTAATAGTTACGAGCTACTTCCGCGCGGTTTCACACGCTCTGCTCAGCTCCTATTGGTCGTAGAGTGATGTTTTATGACCTATAACTATCCTCGATAAATGCGCTATGCAACACAAAAAGAATTATTCAAATCAGACTTGTAGTTACGGAGATTAGCGCGTTCAAACAAACAAAAAAAAACTCTTCCGCTTTATATAATAGTATAAGATTAATGAATAATATGTTTTTTATTCAGGTATAGGTAAACACGGCAAGTTCTACAAGTTAAAAGAGCTTCCATTAAAAGACTGGGAATTAGAAGACACAGAAGAACAAGTCACCATCAAACTCAAAGAGGTTAATATAGAAAAAGAAGATGGGAAAGACAAATGAAAACCTACCCTATGTGTAGAGAATAAGACTTGTTTTGCTTTGTTCGTAAGGTAATGGAAAGGTTTCATTGCAATGATTATTATTGGTTGGATTTTCTTTAGGTCTTGTGTTGCATTAGTGTGACGATAGATGTCGTTCTAGTGCAGTTAGGTCATTAAGCATGATTACTTAACTTGGTCGGAGGATCCTCTAATTTTCTGAACTAGGTCTTTTTGTCGGCGTTTGGCCATTGTCTTGCCCGGGCCCTTAGCTAAACGCCACTTTAGCGCTTGTCTACAGAGAGAAAGAAATCAAAATGTATGAGGATGACACTGACAAATGTCAAAATTTACGTCAATTCCATATAATTTGTGTTTTCTATTCTACATGTAGACAAGCGCTAAATGGCATTTGGCTATAGCTGCTGATCGTAAGCTATGATGTAGTCTACAATGGAGCACGTTGTTTACCTTTTTACTTGAGACTTAAAGACACCCAGGAGTTCCACTCAGCAGTTCTTACAAAGAAACTAGCATACGCGTATAATATTTCTTTTTCTAAGTGTATCTATGATTCTTTTGAAACATAAAAGTGACATAAATAGCATGACAATTTCAATTAAGATACGTATCATTTTAGTCCATAAGTTAAAAGAATAAGTAGTTACTTAACTATATAAAATTAGGGTATTAATAAAAAGTTTCGACAAAAAAGAATTGTCCTTACTCAACATTTTAAATCTACTGCCTAAAATATTTGTCTAACCGAACTTATAACCCATAGATTTATAAATATAACATAGATGTCTGGCTATTGTCTACGGGTAGAATTTAGGATCCATCTTGACGGTAAATTCATAAACATACTGTTGTTTCTCTTTTACTTATATCTCTTTGCTTATGCAGAAAGAGACAACACATTATTGTCATTCTGGCCATAATTTTTTGACGTCTTTTGAAAAACCTAGTTGTGCCGAATTGGCCATCTTAGTCCCTGTTATCAGTGCATGTCAGTGGTACATCAGCTGTCAAAGCATTGGTCAACAATATTTTGTTACGGAAATTTGTAGAATTCCTGTTGTTTTTGTGCGTGGTAAACAAAGAAATTATTGGTTAGTGAGAAGAACTATGCCCGGGTGCAGTGTTAATGGATGTAGCACTAAAAATATTACTAAACCGGCAGGTGTAACATTACATCGGTAAGTACTGTTATTTTTCATTAAAATATCTCTGTTTTTCAAACTATTCAAGTGTGGTTGCTGCAAATTGACTAAATACAATACTTTTCTAACTAATGCAGTGCTTATTTTCATTAATTTTAGTTGAAATACGTCTAAAACAATTTTCATTAAAAAATAGTGATGTACATGATTGTTCCCGTATCGATAATTTTATCGTACATAATAAATGCGTCAAAAGTAGAACAAAGAACTATACTAAATTCTGAATGATAAAGTGCATTAATTTGACATAATGACAAAATACAAAAAACATTAAGTACTCGTCAAAAATTTCATTTTATCGACAAAATTCCACCATCGTCAATACCTACGTAATGTAATAAATAATTAATACAATAGAGAATAATTTTTGTACAATATGAGATAAGGAATAATATTGTGGGAAATGCATTTTTGTCAAAATTGATTTTTTTATCAAATGCCGCTCGACGGATTCAAATGAAACAAACAAATGAAATATAACTTTAGGGTATTCTTAGAGTATTTATTAGAATGTGTCGAACTCTGCCGATAATTTTAATAATATTATAAATTTTCTTTTTAGTTTGTGCTTGAACCACGCAGAAGTTCTTGGCTGGAAATAATTAATGTGGGAAATATAGATACTAGAAGGAAACATATCTTTGTTTGTTAACTTTATTTTGAAGATTAATGTTTTAACCGAACAATAAATTAATAGTAAATCTACGTGATGGGGCCCTATCGCTACAAGCTCTATTGGTAAATCATAATGTAAACGATTCATTATGTGTTTTGTTATATTAGTTTTGGAAGCATTTTTTGAAGAGGTGCAAACTTAACATTTTATTTAACATTTATATTAAGTTCATAACTAACCGGGTTCTTGTACCTATATGTTTCTGTTTTCCTCCGCTATCTATCACTATCATTGTAATGTACAAACATTTTCGTTCAGAGCTTAGTACAGTACCTATAGAATCTATAGAAAAATCTATGTTCAATTGGATCAAGTAAGTTAAATTATACTATTTATGTTGCAGCCTCTAGCCAGATATGTGCATGAAAATGAACTTGGAACCAGTTCTGGAGTCTTCTCGAAAGATGGTTTTGCAGATTACATTACAGGGAAACACTACGAAAAATACGAAGATATTGTATATTATAAATCTTGATTTTATGAATACTTTGATAGTTTTATTTTTCAACCCTCAAAAATTACTTAACCTTAAGTATATAAATATTGACCAGTTGATGGGAAAATTCTTTTCATGAATTTCGATACATAAGTATCGTGAAAGTTATGATGTGAATGTATAGGCACGATCGACTGGAGTGACAGTGCACGCAGAAACTACTAAATATATTTCGCTAATATGTTGGTAATGTTTAGCAGCTACATAAAAATTAAATCCAGATGAATCATAAAATAATGATATTTTATTGATAAGTCAAAACCAATTCTAAAATATCGATATTTCTACAGTTTTAAAAGTTACATCCCTAGTTCTATCCGCCATTACGGGTGACCAAGTGAAGTTTATGTAGGCACGATTTTTTCCTAGTTGTTTCTTATCCATGCTCTTATCATATCAGTGTTATAACCTCTGTTGTTGGTAAAAAGTACTTTTGTCGGAGGTTCAATAGTTATATTCGGAAGTTTACGTTTTGTTATTCGAAGATCCATTTTATAGTCAGAGCGCTGGAGATTAATTTGTTTTTCGGATCAATTATGTATTATTTTCCGTAAACGTATGTGTCTCGAACAATATCTACATTTAGAAATTAATGTTATGAGTACGTAAATGTAATTATAATTCGTATTTTCATAATGATTGCAATGAACCTTTCAATATTTATTTAATATACTTACTTACTAGTCAGTTATTCTGATGTCTAACGTACTATTATTATTATTATGTAAGTAAGTACTTATTAGCTTCTAGTGTTCCTTGTATGATGGCTGGTTAATTAATTAATGTGTACAAAAAGTATTAAATACTGTAGGAACTAGTTCAAAACTATTATTTTGTAAATAAATATTAATTTGAATTAAAATGCATGAGGCTTTAGTTCCAAAGAACACAATAAAACACTCAAATACAAATAGTAGAATTTTATTTTAATAAAGACAGTAACTCTAAGCGCCGACATTGCCCTTTTCCGCAGCATACTTGTAGTGGAGGTCTGAGCAATCTTCGTTGGAGATGTTCACCCATCCCTTCTCGCTTATATGGTAGACTCGGACGATACCGCCGGAGTAGGCATCGCGGTGAGTCGCGTGGTAGATCGCACGACGACCTAGCTCTGTAGAATAAATTAATATGTTTTACTTATATGTTTATTCATGGGTATCTATTCATTATGGGCTTTGGGGTATAAAGATGTGATATTATAGCGACGAATGAAATGTGGAAGGTGGGCAATTTTTTTTTGTATTTGTTGATTCGATTGCCACATTGGGTACCTTCTATTTATAAGCAAGATGCTATTTATAGTTTACATTTCCGGAATGGGAAAATCTTACATTGTCGAAAATTTCAAAATAACTTGATAAATGTCAAAAATTATCATTCATCAAAGTATCGTTATGGTTGAACAACTATGAGACTTCTTAGTTAGATGTCACACTTCAGAAGTCGATCTACAAAACAGATACGAATAAAAAATATTGAAAGTAGTTAATTTTCACAACAGTATAAAACGAAAGTCGCTATCCGCCGCCTGTTTGTCCCTATGTATGCTTAGATCTTTAAAACTACACAACGGATTTTGATGCGGTTTTTTATAATAGATAGAGTGATTCTTAAAGAAGGTTTATATGTATAATACATACATATGGCACTCGTGCGAAGCCGGGGCGGGTCGCTAGTAAAAATAATCAAATCATCAGATGTATGGGAATGTAAAAATTCGTTGAGCGTACCCTGTGCATCCTTATCAGAGAGGTCCCAGCTGTACCCGCTGTCCAGCACACCGAAGGCATACACTGACCCGGAGCCGACGGAGAACACCTTGCCAGGAGTGCGCGTACCTTCAGAGTCTACGTAGTATAGCTGAGCTCCCTGTAACAATGGAATTAGGAATTAATAAAATGTACTGCTTACCCTCGTGAGGCTAGGTGATAAATGTTAATGATGGAGTATATTGCACATTTTTTATTCATTGGTTGAAGTTGTCTCATGGAAGAAATGGTGCAGTTTCTGAATAAAAAAATATCCATCTCTTGTTTTTTTTAAACCATTGCCCCACTCTAGGATTCTCTCCTGTGTCGTGGGTGCTTTTACAAACATACAAGTTCACACAAATCACACCCGAAATAACAATCTGTGGATCACACAAAGAGTTGTTCCGTCTGGGAATCGAACACGTGACACGTTGCGCGGCAGCCAGTTGCCCAGCCAGCACGCCAACCGTGCAGTCAATTCTTGCGAATATTTGCAATAAATTACAATTAGAACTTAATGCGATGAAGGTTGACAAAGGCTACCTTAGGTTACTGTTTTGCCTAGAGCCAAATTTGATTCAGCAACCGTTCTCCTACGACCGATTTGCGTTCGTCGACAGAACGATTCATATATTTCCGTTTCGTCAACAAGATCTTTCACCTCACCACAAAATTAGGAAAAAATATGTTTTTTTTCTGCATACTAAACAACATGTAAAGAAAATATCAAAAACAGATAACTCACCCTCTTATCGACACCAGCCAACATCATTCCCATACTAAGCCCCATGCCTTTGTAGTTGTACACCATGTTGGCCATCAGTTTGCTGGCTGCGGCCACTGAGATACGTTCCCTGTTGCGGAGTTCATATAGACGACATTGCTTTGCAAGCACACGATCCCAGTACACACAGTCAGCTGCACCACCGGCGAGAGTACCTATGGACATAAGTGAAGATGCAATTAGTTTTTAGTAATCTTGTGTTTTTAATTTTATCTATTACAGTGGTGTTTCGATGTATATACCAAGTACTGATTGTCTAAATATTATAAATATATTTTTTTATGGGATAAGCCAGTAAACAAGCAGACGGATCACCTGATGGTAAGCAATTAGCATCACCCTTGGGCACCCTGAACACCAGAGGCGTTACAAGTGCGTTACCGATATTTTGGGGATTACGAATTTGAGGATTGATGGAGA